GTGGAGCAGAGCACAGCTCTGCCGCCAGCACCGGCACCGCACTGGTGATGGGCAGCACAGACCCACCTCATCTGGCAGACGGACGGACGGACTGAGCGAACCGCTTTGGCACTTAAAGAAAATGAGGTCTTTTTTTCCCCCCCGAAGAGGGAAATGGGTTTTATCCCTTCAGCAGAATTTCATCCAAAGGGCTTTTGCTGCCTGTAAAGAAATTTCTATTCCCTGACCCTGCAGCAGAGATTAAAGGAGGCTCAGCGATGTATAAAAATAAAATGGATATGCAAATACCAAGCAAGCTGAAAACAAAGCTCCCACCCCACGGCAGCCAAAGCCCGCAGCCCAAGGGGTGCTGCTCCCCGGCCACCAGCAGCCACCTCCGCTTTCCAAGCTGCTTTTTGCTGCGAAAGCAGGTAACAGGGAGACAAGACCTGCACAAAGATAAGTCACCCATGGGGTGAAAACACAGGGCTCAGCCGGGTGCCGGTGCTCAGCTGCGCCCAGGAGGGTTGGGGAAGGTGCGTGGGGTGCGGAGGGGCTCAGCGCTGCCTGTGCAAAGCACCCCGGCTTGTTTCAAGGTGATCAAAGTGGTTTCGGTGATAAATGACCCATCGCTCGGTGCGGGCTCAGAGCCTGCAGCACCCTCTCTGTGGTGCTTTAAGGTCGTCAGCAGGTAGGAAATAGCTTTGCCGTCGCGGGTGTCCTTTCAGCCCGCACCGGGGGGACGCACGGCGGCTTGGGGAGCAGCTTGGAGCCCCCTGAACCGCACCAGGAGGATGGGCAGGATGATGTACAGCAGGGAGCCTCAGTGCTACCAACCCCTCCCAGAGCCTCCTCTCCCTCCTGCGCTCCACGTCGCTACGGAATAAATGAAGACCCTTTGTGTGCGGCTTGTGAGAGCAGCCAAAATCGCTCTTTCAAGACAAGCAAGATGCAGCTACACAAAAGAAGAGTTGAAGGACCCCGCTACGCCTGTCCCAGCCCTTTCTCCCCCTCCACACGGCTGCCACGTGCCTTCATGCCCTTGTATAAAACACGGCCATAAATTCAAACCTAATGAGGCTTCGCTGTGAAAAGCTGCCCGAGACAACCCACCGCGGCCCCTTCCCTCCCCGCAGCACGCTCACGTCGGTTAAGGCCGCGTTGATGTAGTTGTTGCTGTCTCCATCCATGGAGATGAGGAAGGGAAGGCATCGGTCGGGTGGCAGGACATCCATGCTGCGGTTCCTCTCCCGGTTGCGGGGCAGGAGAGCGATGCTGCACTCCTCCACGTCCAGGTGAGGAGTCACCGAGTTCAGGGTCTGCGGGCACACGTGCTCCCCTTAGCTCCCCTCCTGCCAGAGCCTGCCGGACCCCGCAGCGGTGGGCAGCAGGAGGAGCAAGGGGGTGATGCTGGGTGGGTGATGCAGAGGTTTTGGGGCCGCTCACCTGAAACTCCTCCCGCAGCTGCGAGGAGTTGCTCTGCGGCTCTATCCTCACCATCTCCTTGTAGGTGGGCTTGAACTCGCTGGCGGGGATGCTGGTCTCCCCACACAGGCAGGCTTCCAGGATGGCGTCGTGAATGAAGACGTACTGCTCCTTTTTGCGGGGGAGGAAAGGGGAGAGGGCTGAGCCCCCCAGCCTGCTGGTGACAGCAGCCCCATGCGTCCCTGGCTGTCCCCGACGCCCGCTTACCTCCGTCTGTATCATGTTGATCCTCCGTGAGCAGAGGGTCTTCACGCAGTTGTAGATGTCCACGACGCCCTCGCACTCAGCCATGTCCAACATAACGTCCAGGACAATGTAGCAGCCAGTTCTCCCCGTCCCAGCACTGGAGACAGAGGAGGAAAATACAGCAAACACATTCCCAGTCCACATGGCATCCGCACGCAGCCCAATACGCCAGCAGGCATGGAGCAAGGTCTGCGGGGGTGAGGGCTCAACATGTGGTCCCTGTCCGTGAACGGGGGGGAGCTGGGGTCCAGGCAGGGCTGCTGGGACCTCGCACGCCTCTGTAACCACAGCCCGGTTTTCACAGAATCCCAGCCTGGCAGGGGCTGGAAGGGACCTCTGGAGATCCCCCAGCCCAACCCCCTGCCCAAGCAGGGTCACCCAGAGCAGGCTGCACAGCACCGCGTCCAGCCG